ATTGTCAGCATCCAAAAAGCCAGATTCGCGCAATGCGCTTTACAGAGCACCAACCTTACCTGGTTTAGCTGGTGGAAGCCTTGGACCTTGGATGAATGCTAAACATATACCACATCAAATTCTATCCAGGACCGGTTCTGGGCTGTTAGCCACCTGCCTGCTAGATATTTGGCCACCCTCGTCCGATTACGTGAATCACGAGTAGATTTATAACTTACCCAACTGATAAGAATTTACTGGTATGTTTTTATGATAGTTCTGTATAGATTCTGTATGATAGTTAAAAAAAATCTATTAAAATATTTGATATTTTTATTCTGCTTGCCCATCTTATATTACTCACGGATTTCAATGTTAAACCAGTGATATTACAATTTCATATGTCCCATCTTTAAGGGGATGAAGAAAAAACATGTACAATTCTTGTATAATGTTAAAAAATTAACCGTTACTTTGACAGCATCATTTACAACTAAATTTAATGAATGAGAGAGATGTACGAGGTACAGAAAAAGCTCTAGAATTTATTTTTTTTTAATTTACGATTTATGTATTTGTTTTCATAAAAATTTGTCTTTCCACTTTTTCCTGAGACTACAAATATTCGAGTACAAAGTAACTGGTTTCGACTTATTTCTACTTAAGTAGTAGTTAAATAATTAAGCGATTAGGGAATTGGGGACATAAACGAAACCCTGATGAAAGAGCCAAAATTTTACTTAAACAAAAGCTTAATCAAACCATCTCTAGTCGAGTACGGTGGAAACTTATTTCTTCGTATTATTAATGTAATAAAGACAGAAATTTTTCCAATTCAATGAATGTGACTGAAAAGTTGTAAATTTTGGAAATTTCCATGGACTCTGGTCCTAAAACAAATTAGTTAGAAAACAAATGACTATTATGTTTAACATATTTAGATTTTTACAGCTATGGTGAGAAATGTTTAAAATCTACAACAGCCCTGTCAAGTCTTTTGAGATATGCTAGTGATGCGACAAAAGAGGTATTTGACATTGACCGATATTGGCACCCTTGGGATTTGGCAGTCTGCGTGTATGCACACTCTGCAACCGTCTTCGATTCCATCCATTAGCCATTTGTAGGGAGCTATTTGACTAAGTGCATTGTTTTAAGATTTAAAAAGTAAAGAATATTTTATATTTTTATGTACGTTTTTTTACAAAGCTATATTTAATTATAATTTTCTTTAAAAGTATATTCATACAATTGAAGAATATTTTGTACCAGGTATGTACTGGTACATCCACCACACATTTCACCAAGTTTTTATTATTTTATTTTTAATTGTAGTCCTTATATCGTGGCTAGCGATTCGGAATGTAATTGTGATATTAAAAATGCATATAGAAAAGTCTATGGTTTTTACTGGCTTATCGAATAAACGATACGAATGGACCCTATACCATCACTGATGTGCAATTGACTGATTGTTCCTGGATGTTGGCTTCTTACAGAAACGCAGCTTCCCTATCATCAAATGTCACTGCATGCCACTGTTCAGAAGATGATTCTAATTTGATTAATTTTATTTAAATGCATTTTGGCTTTTTACTGTAGTTGATTTTGAACAGTTTGAAATATCAGTGGATGCTCTGTCGCAAATTGTACTTTTACTGAAGAGGGATTGGCGAGAATTCCAAAATCTGAAATGCATTTAAATAAAATATCTGAGAATTAATCGTCTTCTGAATAATTCTTGAACTTGGGTGAACATCAGATTTGAAGGACATAACATTTTGGTTTATTCATCCAAAAAAAAAATCCACTTTTAAGTAGTTATAAAAGTGATTATTATATCTGGCAAATATTGCTAATTTTAGCTTTGTATTAATAATAATTATATTATGTAATTACTCATCTAACTAAAGATATACTAAATTAGCAGTATTTGAGTTTTTATTTGATATTTTGGAATTGAAAACTTTAACTTTGGAAGAAATTAAGAATGTATTCCATATAGCTAATTCAACAAATTGATAATTCTAACCTAAACCTAGCCTAATTTAAAGATAGTCAACAAATTGTATTATATGCTTAACATTGCAGTTGGATCAAATAGGAATGAAATGTTTTTTGCTTTTAATAAAATAAAACAAAGAACTAGGTGAATGGCAGATAGATGATGCATACGTCAGCTGACCAAGCTAAAAATTCTTGTGAAAGAAGGAAATCACTTTTTTCTTTCTATAACTACTTTTTCTTTCTAACTACTACAAGTTAAACTTTGTGATAATTATTTAACACTAAACTTTATAAAAATTACTTGTGGTTTTATATAAAGACAACTGGTTAACACTGATAATCTTTTATTGATCTCTTCTTTATAGAATCTAATAATTTAACATAACTGATACCAAGTTGAATGTTGATCTCATTAATTCTTCAAGAAATTTAAATTTTATAGTAACCAATTGAAACTGCCAAGGACAGTGGCGTACCATGGGTGTCAGCTGCCTGGGCCAGAGGAAAATTTTGCCCCCTTATTTAGGTATTTCAATTTAAAAGACCAAAATTCAGTTTTGTCACAGAACAAGCAATGAAAAATTTAGTGGTAGTGCAGCGACCTGTTTAAAATAGTTCTATTGGATATTAGTGGTGTATATGAATGCGAATGAATCGTACAAGAAAAAAAAAAGGTCAATAGGTTTTGCAGGAATTCCTCGGATGAAAAAGTTACTAGTTCACCCGGCGAGCCGATTCCCGGACTGTCCGGACGATAGCACTATCGTAGGCGCAATGCAAGTATAGATTATGATGTTTCAAATTTTTACAAGATATTATTATTATTTATTGTAAAATTTTGCCGCCCCCTAAAATGTGCCACCCGGGGCGTGCCAACCCACTATGGTATGCCACTGGCCAAGGATTAAAAAATAAAATAACAGGTATAAAGTTTATGCAACTGAATACATCAGACATTTTTTGTTTGACTGAAACATGCATGACACAATCAGTTAATATGGTTTTAGAAATTAGCAACAAATATATAATAGATTCAACACTAATCCAGAAACCATTAGGACCTGGATACCCTTCTGGAGGTTTATGTATAATAATCAAGAAAGAACTAAAAACTATTAAAAAAATTCAAAAAAATCCAATAATTTTATATTAATATTATTACAAATTAACAAGAAAGAATTGGAATTCTTAGATAGATTAATAATAATAATAATATTCAAGTAGCAAATATGATACATCAAGAGCTTGCAAAGAAAATGCAAATTATTAGACATCCACGAACCATACTACAAATACATTCCACAGACAGTATTGGAAAACAACACACACAAAATGTACTACGACAGAGCCATAATCACAGATAAAATAATTTACCACAACAGACCAGATATCACACTCATTGACAAACACAATAAAATCACATACATTATAGACATAGCCATTCCAAACACTCACAATGTACAAAACACATGCACTGAAGAAACTAGCAAGTACACAGAACTCGCCCAGGAAATAAGACATCTGTGGAGGATGGATAGAGTGCGTATTGTGCCTGTTGTTCTCTCCTCTACAGGTGTCATACCAGACACACCACACAAAAGCCTGGGCTTATTACAATTAAATAGAAACACATACATCATGCTACAGAAGGCCACTGTATTGAATATATGTCATATTATTAGGAAATTCCTGAATACAGACACACACTGACATGCTTTTTAAATTTCTGTTTTGATTTGGTTACTGTGCCTTGACTCTGGTCTGGCATAGTACACAGCCACCAGTGTCAACCGAGTATAACTCACAAAACCAAACGTAATAATGTTAGTATATATTCTTCCAGATCATTCAGAACTATTTAAAGATACATTTAAACAGCTAGATTATTGGGAACATCTGTCTTCATTTGGATTAAAATCTCCTAAGATTAATATATGAGTTGAACAATTATTAGGTAGATGCTATAATGGGCCAAATAATTTAACATTTAACAGTTGCAAATCTACAGATAAAAAACATAATAAACTAAATCTGGAATTATTAATGCTAACTCATGACTTCACTATTATGACAATAACTATATCTATTAAGTGATTGTATATAGAGTGATTGTCGATCTGGATTTACTTGTGTTACAAATAATAAGGATATACTACTCAAAAATCTTATAAACTGCAACCAAATTTATTATCAATTTCAAACGTTTTCAGTCATCTTTAATGACCTTTATCAAGAACGAGCGAAAATCAAATGCTGAAAATTGAATGAAGAGTCTGCATTCGATTTTTGCTTGTTCTTGATAAAGGTCATTAAAGATGACTGAAAACGTTTGAAATTGATAATAAATTTGGCTGCTTGTTATAAGGTTTTTGAGTAGTATATCCTTGTTACGATATGCAGTCTATGAAGAGGTTACAAATAATGGAAGACCAGTTATAGATTTAATAATCTTTTCCAAATATGTAGTAGATTTAGAGTTTTAAGTTGTGATATAGCAGATTATTCTTCAACAGTTGCAAGATTTGCACTTTATCTTATCAGAAAACTAGTTTTTAACCTTACTTTGTCAAAAAATAAATTATAATTATCAGAAATTTCAAATATCTGATTATTCAGTTTTTTAAGCAAAAAATAACCCAATTAATTACAGCAATTGTTTTGTTTATTATTAGTACATCGTGTTTAGTGATGTTTATATATACATATACACATAACATACTCTAGAAATGTTAAACCTTATTAAAACTTATATATGACATACATAATATTGAACACGTCACATTGTTAAGAAGTTTCTAGATGTGAACACATACACCAATAATACAGAAGCTGAATTAATGTTACACTTATTTGAATATCTTATTTACAACATAATAATAATAATAAATACTTGTATATGTTTGAAGTTCATAGAACTTAAAAAATTAATTTTAACTTTATTTTAAGTTTATTGTGAAGATTTATTATAAAAATCAGAAAAAAATGAATAATGATTATTAAAAATATTTTCACAGAAAGCCCTTGTAAAACACCAGGAAGTGAAATTTATTATAGTGAAGCCGATCATCAAGATGACAGTACTGACAATTCTATTCATGGTTTTATTAGTGATGAGAATTCCCACTTTATAACATCATCATTTGGAAGTTTTCATAGTGAATCAAGTGCTTTAACACTTCATTATTTACATTCATTACATGGTAGTTTTAAGGTAAATTTTTTAATACTTATGTGAATATTAATAGAATTTGTATAATTTTAATTGAGACTAAATTTACTTTGAGTAACATTTTGTATTTTACAAAATCAAACAGAATAATTTACAAGTACTGCTCAAAATGTCTTCTGCAGATGTGGATACATAATTGCAAACAATAAACAAATGACTCATACACACTAGCTAAGATGTATTCAGAAAAACAGTTTTTAACATTTAAAATAAAAAGCTTTGATTTGTATGTGTTGGTTTCACAGAAGTGGAAAACAAACATTGGTATCTTTTTAGTGGGAGGTTTAAAATTTGTTTCAAAAATTCTAGGAGAAAATAGAATTTTTGTTTCCAATTGTGGTCGAAAGTTCTCCTTTACTACAAGTTTAGCCAATTCATTATTTTCCTTTTAATGTCTCTTCTAATAATTTTTTCTAGAAGAGAGTAGCATTTTTGTTTGGTTCACAAAACCAAAGAGCACCATACAGACATTCCTTGCTTTAAGGTGATGAACCAGAGCCGGCCCTACCATAGGGCGAACGGAGCAGCCGCTCCAGGCGCTAAGTCCTAGGGGGCGCCTCAGTGGTAAAGAAAATTAAAGGGTATAAATNCTGTCTGGGGTCAAAATGGCTGTGCTTCCTGATACAGGTTAATTAATTATTAATCTGTATTATCTATTATGATTAGCCTAATAGTTAACTAATGTAGTAGTAGTAGTAGTAGTCCACAGATTAAAAAACCTTTTCAAAAATTTTTTTATTAAGCTTATTAAAAAATACACCAGGAAACAATGTTTTAATTTTTGCCATTAAGTCAATCTATTTTTTAAAAATAAACTCCATTTTTCTTAAGCAAATATTTTGTAAACACAATATCTCACAATCTGTTGTACCTTGACGTTTTAATTAGTTCTGCGATACTGAATAGTCTTTCTGTGGGGAACTGAATTGTTACTTTATAAAAAGTTTTATCACTACAGGATAAAGTTTAAAATTACTGACTTTCTTTTTAGTAATGCTAGCATGCTCTTTGTCTTCTTCTCTAACATCATTTCTGGACTGGTGATGTTCTTTCCTTTTTAGAGGTGGCATCTTTTCTTCCTCCATTTGTGTTTTGCATATCATATGGAACTTTCTTCATTTCTCTCTGTAGATAACCAGAGTTGAAGATGGAGATTGTATTGTTTTAAAAATAGTCTACAGTTTGTTACTTGCACAAGGCTCAACAATTTAGTCCAGGATAACTGTCTACTTAGTTCCCCCCCAATTACAAGCTAGGAACTGGAACTGTAAATGAATTAAAAAAATCATCTATGCTCTCTGCTTAATACCTTTGAAAGTGTGACACTCAAGCATATAATTCCACTTTACATCAAATTTTTTCTTAAACTTTCAGAGAAGCTTTTCATGAGATAATGAATTTAAATCCATAACTTTGAAGAATTTTAAAAGTTTTTTTACCTCATCTCCTAGCAAAAGCAATGAGGTATTTTTCTTGGCATCACTGGACACTCCAGAAGCAGTCGAATAATAGGAAGTCTTTCCATTGTTCCCAATAGTTTTCCTCATTTTCTCCTACCAAAGAAAATTTTATTATTGGTAAAAGCAATTTGTGAAGACATCATGCATGCAACATAATGGCAATTTTTAAATTTGTTTTTAATTGACATCATTTTTTAGTGTTTATGAACAAGTAACTTAAATAAAGGAAAGACTAAGTTAGTTAACACATCTTTATTGCACCATGTTTTACTGGAAAGTCTTCCCGACTTTCTCTTGCTCTCACACAAGGAAGAACGTCTCTGGTTAATTTGTTAAGTTAATATTTGCTAGCTTTTATAATAGTATTGGGAATGAAGAGTAGTTGGATTCTGGAATGGTGGACTGGGTGTTTTTAATGACAACAATTAAGAAATTTCACCATGTAAGAAGAAAAAATAGTATACACATGATTTATTATAACGTTATACTCAATTAAATGTAATGTCATTGATTGGCTATGTTATATTAAAATTAAATTATTGGAATAAGAACTGTATATTTAGTCACTAAATTTTTAAATACATGTTAAACTTTAGAAACCGTTTAATAGTTCAATATATTCTATAATAATAGCTTTTTAGCTTTTCTTATGAGCCTATGTTATATTGGGGAAAAAAAGAGAAGAAAAAAATATTTGGGAATTAGTTAAATATATATTTTTGATGCATTTAAGTTTAGTATTTTTTAACTTTCAAATTTTTTGAATTTATTATAAATACAGCCTTTCAACAAGCTAGCTTACAACATTTAATTGATTAAAGATATGAAATTATATTGCATAAAATGAAATCCTAATTTTAAATACTGGATTGACCAGTATGCCATATAATTGGAGGAGACCAGCATGCCAGAAACCGTGAAGTTACCAGCATTCCAGTTAAAATGCAACTAAAAAATAAAATTAATCAGATCTAATAAAACTAGTTTTTAAATAAATGTTAAAGAAAACATTCTTTCCAATACAATAAAATAATAATAATATAATTTGATTGACTTAAAATCAGGAAGAACATTTTTCTTTATAGGAGAATAAAACTATTAATGGTATATTAACATTAGTAGTAATAGTTAGTGGTAGTGGTAGTAGTTAGTCAGTATGAGCTGCACTGACAACCTACTTGACCTTAAAAATAATACCTTTGTCTCAAATTTCACACAAAGCAAATGTTAATCTGTATGAGTTGATATAATTTACATCCAATTTCTGAGATATGATGTCTATTTTTTGCATTTTTGGATCAAATCACAATAAAATAAACATAAGGAAAGCAGTTTTGGCATTCCATGAGTATTTTCTTTCATTAGAAAGAAGACAAAATGCAGAAATTAAACATATAATTGAAATTTTTAATGTAATGCTGACAGTTTCACAGATTTAGAATAAAAACTTGTTCATTTTTTTTCACACACTTTTTAGAGAGGGATGTACAACCTCACTTAAACTGGCATGCTGGCATTCCCCCAGGATAAACCAGCATGCTGGTTTTTACCAAACAAAAGTATCTGATTTTATCATCTTTCCCAGATAGGCCAATATTCCAGATAATCTGTGAAAATACAGTATAAATTTTATAAATAATTAAAATTTATAATTTATTTATAAAATATTTATTAACACATTCATTTTCTGGCTTCCTAAAGGGATAATCAAAGAGAGAGAAAAAATAAATAAGCAATTGTAACTAATGTTGTCTTCCATTTCTTCAACTAAGAAATAGAAAAAAGAAGTTGAGATGTAAGATATAGAAAAAAGGAAAGTTTAAGAACTTCCCTTTTCCTATATCTTACATCTCAACACTGTTTTTCATTACAACAAGCTCAGTTTTCATTCCACCAGCATCCACCAAAAAAAATTGCACACAGAAAGTAAAAAAAAAACATGTTTTTTATGACACTAGTTCAATTCTGTCTTTTTTCCCACATTAGAAGTAATAAAATCATAAAATATGCCTTCCTTTCAATGAATGGAGAGAGTTTGTCCATGACACCATTCTGGTGGATATACTGTATATAGTTAAAAGATGACTTCTATAGATCACAGATACACCCAGGCACTACAATGAAAATTTTCTGACGATTTAATCAAGATTCAAACCTGACTTTCTTGGAGTTGTAGGCACAAACAGTAGATCTTTCCTGTATGCTACCTAACAGTAACCTACAGGAAAGATCTGTTGCAAGTTAGTATATTTTTTTTAATTGAAGAATTGTTTTGTAAAAAATGTGAACATCAGTTTTTAAAGTTTACTAAATCTTTAGCATTCAAGATGTAAAGCCAGTTTTATAATTTTTTTCAACAAAAATTTTTGAACTTGTTTCATAAAAGATGATTTTGTTTTTATGATATTTTATTATGTTAAAAATAATATTTTTATAATGTCCATTAAAGTGCATGATATTGTACAATTTATTTTTATTGTAACAGAAGGTGATTTGTATATTGCAAAAATATTATTTTGCATTATGTGATTATAAGACAGACATAATTACATTATGAATTTTTATATTTTTTGTTTGCATATTTAGCAGCTTTAAGTAAAAATAAATACATTTTTAATTGAATATTTAATTAGAATAAAATAAATCTTCATTATATGTATTTATTAATATTTCAGAAAAACTTAGCTATGAATAAACCCTTTCATATTGCAAAAGAATTATTAATGACTGAAAGGACATATAAAAAAGATTTGGAAATTGTCAATGTAGTAAGTAAAGAGTTTTGATTAAATATAATAGTAAATAATCATTGAAAAACAGTATTAATATAGAAAAAAGAAACTTTCTTACTTTAAATATAATTTTTAATTCATAAATTTACAGAATAATTCCCTAGCAATAATTTTATATTCTTCAAATAATTTTTGTTATTTTTATACTTGCCTGATTTTAAAAGAGCAAAATATCTAGCTGAAGTTTGTTATTGATAAGGATATATGATAAATATATCCATGTATTACAGTACAAATATGAAGAAGAAAACTATGAAAGACTTTTTAAATAGGCCATAAATAAAACTTTAACATAGTTTAAACCAGTGACTCCCAAACTTTTTTGATCCACTGCCCCCTTTGTTCCATAAAGTTATACCCAATGCCCCCTAACACATTTTCTCTTGTGTGAGAAAGGATTGGAAATATTCTTAGGAAAACTTTTCTATGAATCTCACACTTTGTGCCCTTACCTTACATTGTTCTCAACATCTGGAAACCATTAAATGCAATGTTTCCTTTTAGTGACCCCAATTTTGCTTTTGGTCATCATTCAATACCCTGCCTCCAGCGCCCCCTAGATCTACTCATCGCCCACAAGGGGACGTTATTGCCCACTTTGAGAAACACTGGTTTAAACACTGTAAGACTGGAATAAAGTGTCATAAAAAATGCAAACCTATGAACCTTATAAATGAAATTCCAGCATAGTTTAATGCAGATAAAATATAAATGCTTTTGATCTACATAGGAGATCATCTTCAGGTTAATGTGTTCCAAAATGGAATGCGAAGACTCCATACCAACTTCATGTACTGACATGTCTTCACATTCCATTTTGGAACATATTAGCCTGAAGAAGATTTCCTATGTAGATTGAAAGTGTTTGTATTTTATCTAAATTAAACTATGCTGGAATTTTATTTATAAGATCCATAGGTTTGCGTTTTTTATGAAAAACTTAAACAAACCAAACACTAACAAGATAAGGAGTCCTATGCTTTTTATTTTCAGATAAAACATTTTTCAAGACTATTTCAGTATTAAATCTTCAAAAATATGAGTTCTTTTTAAATCATACACAGAGATAGTCTTTAAAAAATATTTTGTCTGAAAATAAGTAAAACGGCAAAACCGTATTTGGGACAAGACTATGTCTCGGAGACTCACTACTAAGTGGAATCACTTTGACACTCAAGGCGGGTCTTGTACTCATTCTCCAATCTTTTTTGGTATCACTGCTTTTGGGTGCGATCGTTCAAACTTCACAGGCCACAATGCATTTTCGATGAAATTAACCTATCGAATTTCAAAATTTCTCTCCATTGTGTGTCGATTTGAGTTGAATTTTTGTCGATGCACAACGAAAATTTCCTGTTTTTGAAAAAAATAATCATGGCTATTCTAACGTCCGAAATTATTTTTTTATTTTGCATAAACAATATACAGTTTAACCCGATTAACGTTATTGAATGTAATGACAACCCTAATATAACGTCAAATTTTTATCGGTCCTACGATTTTACTATACTAGATAATGTTAAAAAAAAGCCACTTGTAATGACATAAAACCATTTTAACATCATATTTGAAGCACTCCCAAATTTACAAAATTAGATTACAAATTTTATTTAACATAGAAGAAACTACATGTTCAGTTCTAAGGTCAGAGTTCACTTCTTAGAATGACTGTGGGTGGTACTCTCCCGCACCTAACTTCGGTGGGGTGAGGTGCCTGTTTGTAGAAGAAGGTCGCTATTTTGTATTTTATTTTGACTCGGTTCTCAGTCCCCTGACTACTTGCAAGTCTGGATTTTTTTATGCGCAAATGATTTGGGCATCTAATACTCTGTGCCAAATATCAACTCGTGACATGTACTCCTTCATATCTCTATGCTGGTAACATAAAACGGCAGTATGATTTTATAAACAAGACATAGTCTTGTCAATAAAAATATAGGACTGTAAATAACATTGCTAGACCCGATATACTATAAAGCTAGACAATATGAAGAAGAAAACTTATTTACTTAAGAAATTTATATTATTAACCTGCACATAAAATATTCTTAAAACATTCCCAGGATTGATTTAAGGTTCAATACTGTGTTAAAATTTTAAGAAATAAGTTTTAAAATTTAAAGAAATAATAATGAATTAATTCAGTTTGAAAAATGCTGTATAAAAGAAATTGTCTATAATTTGTTTGGCACTGTGCTTGAAATTTAAGCAATAAACTTCTAAGTTGAGGAGACAAAAAGATCTACAGTCGACCCCCCCCACAACATGGTAGATATGTTCCAGTTTTTATGAATCCATTTTCTAAGAGTCCAGCCAATCACAGCCCGACATGTATGCAGTTTACGGACTACGGCTGTTTGAAAGGTTTCTTCCATAAAATTAATCGATTCTAGACTAATTCGAATCAACATTTCCAAAATAATTTTTTGGGAATAATCCATATAAACTATGCTATAAACAAAAAATTGTAAGATTACTTACTGAGCGTGCACCGTTCGACTACGCTATTGCTTAAGTTTGTTTTCGTCATGGAGCTTGTCATCGAATGCTTCCTGATAAATTATTTTTTTTGCAAAAAATTTGCTGAAGTTTGGAGACATCATTAATATAATTATAATTTTTATGTTAAATAATAAATGGTTTTTAGTAGGTCCGCTGCTCGTTTAAACTCAACAGTTTGTACAATATCCGCTATTGGTCTAGATTCAACCAATCCTGTCACAACACGAGTCAGCAATGATGTTTTACCGAATTATACGAGTTTTTTTAGCATGTTTGTATGAATACTGTCGCAATTTTTTCGCCATGATATAGGAATCCAAACTATAGGAACCCGTGTTATAGGGGGGTTCGACTGTATTTGAAAAGAAATGTTTTTAGACCTATTTGCTTCTCATACAGAACTCAGAACAAATGAGAATACAAAATATACTCACAGTTGAGTTAGGAATTTTATGTTTAGAGTTTACATTTAGAATTTTATATAGAACAAAAAATTAAAAATTAATAATTGTGATTAGAACAATTTAAATTGAGATTTTAGAACATAGAAGTTGGAAATTCAAAAAAGATTAATGAATAAAGAATATATAATTTAGATATGAAATTCTTTTACATTATATTACAAATAGGTCTAAAAATGTTTCTTTTCAAATAGATCTTTTTGTTTCCTCAACCTAGCAATTTATTGGTTGAAATGTTGTGTAGATTAAAATTATCAAATTATCTGTTTATATTTAATATGAACAGATAATTTGATAGTTTTTAAAACTCCTTTTTAAATTAGATAATTATCAGAAAAATGTAAATTTAGAAAATATGGAAGTATCATAATATCCTGCCTGTAATCCATGGATTATATTGTGGCTACATGCCATATTTAAATCATATATTTTGTATATAATTTTGTTATTTTATCTTGTATATTTTCCGCTTCCCCTCTGTCTGTCCTATTTGTCTACCCTTCCTGGAATGTTCTCGTTTTACCCTTGGCTTTGGTATGTGGGTGGACTAAACTGAGAAGCAACGAAAGAAATGCAGCTCTGAGGGGAGGGGCAAACAGCAGTCACTCCGGAGAGGGAACCCGAAGGAGAGAGAGTGAGAGGAAGTCTCCCCAGTACATTTAGCATCGTATGGTCAAGACGAGAACTTTGGAACGGAGAAAGAAAAGGAAATTAATTGTGAGGAACAGGACGCATCGACCTTCGGACTAATATCTTAAAGAGTGACAAAAAGGGAGCTAATCAGTCCCCAACCCAATGAGAAATCTCATCCACAAGCCCACACAAGCAGGATACATCAAGTTTTGGGTACCCTCTTTCCTATCCCTTACTTTCATTCTCTCAAGTTTCTAATAGCCTTCTCTATTCAATAGTTGTAAGTAGTAATAGGAATCTAGTTTTAATTAATATAATCTTAAGTAGTTGTATAATCAGTCGGACAAAGGACTACGCATGCGCACTCTTTGTAGGGAGACCATATTGTGCGGTGGTCGAATAATTAATGATGTGGATTATTCGGTGGGTGTAGCATTGTTGGTGTCCTTAGAAACCTGTATCATAACAAGCGAGCTAATAAAATTATTGTATTTTATTTTATCTATTTTCGATTGTGCGTCTTTGACTCACTCGCGGATCTCACAATATCATAAAAATCTTTCAGCTTTCATGTTGCAGGTCATAGGTTGCTGCATATAATCTGCAATAATTTTAACACAACATAAAAAAAATAGCTATAAAATCCTTTTGATATGATAAAAAGTATTTTATCACATCAAAATGTCTTCGTGACACGATAAAATGTGATGAATTTTCTTGTTCTTGCTTATGTGTTGGGCAGATGCAAAAGACAAACGTTCTGATAGATTATTTCATTCCTACTCTGACTAATTTGATATTTACACATTCATTAGTCTTCCAATAAACATCTCTAAACTGATCTTTGCCTAAGATATGCTTAAGTTGTTTAGCTTAAGATATAAATTATAAATTAGAAATGAATTTGGCACTAGAGTGAGGTGTTAGGCTCCATCTCTTAGCTTAAGATGTTTTAGCTTAGCTAATAATGATTAATAACATCTTATCCTGATATCTCAGCAAAGAAAACTGAAGGTCTTCATGTCATGACAAGATTTGTTGTCTTCACAGTTAATATGGAGAAAATTTGTTTCAGTGACATATCCAGAAAGTTCTTACAGAGGTGTGATTTAATTATCATATTTCTGTTCAAATAAGAGCTTTAAACCTAACAGTTTTTCTGCAAAAACACAATATTGTTGGTTTTGTAGCAGTTTTGGAGAAAACTTCCATTCCAACCATTACTTAGGAAAGGCAAGTGCCTTTCCTAAGTAATGGTTGGCTTCTTCACTATTTTGGATATTTAATCTCATTACACTATCAGCAATACTCTAGATGTAATCAAAGCTTTATCAAAGGTTAAGGTAGATCTGGATGAACCTTATTACTTTGATAGACTATGTTAATTTTTATCCATCAATTAGAATAGAAGCATTCATAGCCCTACTAGGTGTTTAATATGCAACAAAAAGCACTTAACAATTGATAAATACAAGATTGTCACAGATTTTTTGGATATCATCCTGTCTAATTCATAGTTCACACGGAATGGGACATATTATAGACAAAGTAGGAGTAGGAATGGACTTTCCTGTGTCTGGAAATTTAGCAGAAATTGTGATAGATTATTTATAGCCAATACTTGTATACAAACAGAGATATGATATTAAACTAACCTGCAGGTATATAGATTACTTGCTTGTTATATGAAGAAACAATTGCTCAATAAAAAATTTTGTAAATGACATTAATAACAACACAGTTAACATTAACCTAAAAATAGATCAAGTAAGCTCCTTCCTTTCCATATTGATACAGTTCTACATTATACATTAAATATATTTTTACTGGTCAAGTAAAGGTTTTTATGTGTGTTTATATTAAGTAAATTGGACCAGTACCAGGTGAGAAGTAACTTTTATACAGTTCTACTTTTGCTGATACTGCATGGTTAAAAGAACTGATTCATTGATATTCTTATGACTTGATAATGTACAAACTAGCAACCTTTCAGTCATGTCTAAAATGAGTGGTTATCCACTCCTCCTATCTCATGCACAGAAATCAAGAAATTAGGTTAATTGACTATTCAGCTGATAACCATGATTTTCCACATGAAGTAATAAAAAGTCTTGTTGAAGCTGTTTCTGTCAAGTTGATAACTGTCACAAGCACCAGCAAAGCATATCAGAGAGAAAACACACAGATTCATAGTTACAGGCATAGCCATTGTGACATTGATAGTGCATTTTGAGAGAAAGTATGGTATTAATAATTGATATTAAGAGTTTAGCATTTATCATGCAGCTTCTCTGATCTGACAAAGAACTACATCGAAGAAAGTGGAATTTACATGATCAAGTTAAAGAGGGCAATGATTTTTTTGTTTGTCAGATCTGCTTAGATCTGATATAGAATTACCAATAACAATCCACGAAAAACCTTTTTTTACGGGTGTTATGTCACTATTAAATTCCACAAGTACTTTCGACCTCCATCGAGGTCTGCTTCAGGTGGTGACTGGCCGTGTTTTGACCCGTCTGTCGTGACGATGTTGCCAACGATGTAAATAAATAAATGTGCGCATTGGGTTTCACTCCTCTGACCGACACTGTTCGAATTCCTTGAACAAGTACTTCCACGCCTGTGCAAGCGTTTCCCCATCCTTGTAATTGATGCAGTTGCCCCCCCCTGATAGCTTTATGAATCTCCCAGGCCTCCAGGTGGCGGATGTGATCACGGCCAGTCACCACCTGAAGCAGACCTCGGTGGAGGTCGAAAGTACTTGTGGAATTTACTAGTGACATAACACTCGTAAAAAAAGGTTTTTTGTGGATTGTTATTATTCAACGCAGTGTTAAGTGGTTGGAAGTCGTTTATCTTAGAATTACCAATTTATCATGTCTGAATCAATCTAATTTCCAGTGTCTGAAAGTTTTTATCATCTATAACGAACATGTTAAAGTATCTTTTTCTTCTTTTCTTGCTGTCTTTTTATCATTTTTGTTATTTTCACATTAAACCTTTTCATTAGTGTTACTAACAAACATAATATTTTCTTTTCAATTTGAAAACGTTTTTTGTTGCTATGGATTAAATAAAACTTTAAAAAAATGTATTTTTCTTAAGCCATTGGCTTCAATATATGTTAAATATTAACTGATTTTAGTATATATAATTATTTAAATTATCTTTCTAATATTTTTATGATATTTTTTCTTTTATAGTGGTTTAGAGAAGATGTTAGTAGAGAAAAAAATTTGCCAAAAGATGTGCTGGAATTATTACTTTCCCTAATAGATAGCTTATATGAAATACATTGCTATTTGTTACGACATCTGGAGGAGTTTGTATTAGTTTGGTTAGTTTTGAAATCTAAATTAATAAAATCATTTATAGTAATGTATTATATAGAAAATTAATTTATTTTCCAATATAATGTTTATTATATTATATTATATATTACAATGTAAATTATTAAATAATTATAAATATCATATTTTCATGCATATAAACTGCAGGAAAATTTTGGATAACTTGTTTTGGAAAAAATTTAGCTAAGTATGCATTACTAATATGAACTTTAATTATAAATAATAATAAAATTTGTAACAGTAAAATTCAAAATATTTATAATAAAAAAAATTAACTAAATGATAGCTTTGAATATTTAAATTATATAATTTCATAAATTGCTTCTAAAATTTCAAACATTGTTGACTTATTGACAATATAGTTTTCCTTATTAGCAAAACATCAGTATTTTTAAATTTAATTTTTAAACTAGTTTAAAATAATAGTTTCTCAGTTCTAATTAAAATATTATATTATATATTTGACATAATAAATTACTATAAAGCAGTGTTTCTCAACCTCTAACAAATCGTCTCCCCCTTCACTTCAAAATTCCAATGCTGAGGGCCAAGGCTAACACCAAATTCGTACTGCATTGAATAGACTATTGACTAATATAATGTTATTTGTTTAATTATCGTAAGATATAATGAAAAAATATCTAATTATTCTTAATATAATGTTTTACTATAATGCCCAGAAAATTGTTTTTCGCCCCCCTAAAATATAAATTGTTACAAATTGCCCCCTCAACATGGAAAAACGCCCACATGGGGGCGATATTGCCCCCGTTGAGAAACACTGCTATAAAGTATGTTTAGAAATATATAATGAAGATAGATCAATATAATTTTTTATTTGCCTATAATGGAAGAGAGAGGGAGAGAGAGAAGTATTCTAAAGTATGCTCTGAAATGAATTAAAGGAAAGATAGCAGTGTTAGAAATTATGAGAGTATAGATTGGATTTGTTGATTGCAATATTATGTTCAACTGAGAAAAATAAAAATAAAACAATATTGTTGAATTGATTTAAACTTGATTTGATTCCTCAAGGCTGAAAAATTTACTCAAAATCACCTGAGAAATAGTTTTTTATGGTTTATTTTTATTGTATTTTATTTATAAATTATCCAATACATTTAGATCTTAAAACATTTTATGGTTGATTTTTGAGAAGGCATTTTTATAATGCTAATACTTAAATAAATATTTTAGTATAACTACATTTAATCCATTTTTAAAAATCATATATCTTTTAAAAGATGGATTAAATTTTATTTGAAATTTAAAATTAAGGCTGGGTGAATTTTTGGTGAAGCTTGATAATTGAGTTTTTGAATGAATTGGAAAACCGTAAGAAGTCAAATTATGCCAGATCTAAATTATTGGACATTTGTTAATAGGTTATCTCTGGTTTTAATTGTGTGTTTATTAATAATTGCTGGGATTGGGTCTAATCCAGATCCTTTGCCTCGATCTCCACAATAGTTGTGCCAAGAAAATATGCAAAGAAGGAGGTGAGGCAGATTTCGCAAGAATAATCTCAAGGAAAAGGAAAGGCAATTGAGTGATACAGTTAGTGAAGATTATTATCAATTAGAGGAAGTTTTTAACAAAAGTAGTCCTGTGACCTTGAGAGCTACAAAAATTTATGATTACTTTGAAGCATCAAGTGATGCTGAGCATAGGCACAGGAAGTGTCGCAATATACTTTAAAATCGATTTATGAGCTATCCTACAGCTTCATATTGAACTACAAGAAATTAAAACAGAGGTCAATGCTCTAAAAGAGGAAAATAAACATTTTCATGGAGAGTTGACAAAACTTTCTCAAAAGGTAGAAGAATTAGAGGAAACATCCAAGAATAACTCCCAATTAAAAGGTATGTTGGAATATGAAATAGACAAACTAGTTAACGTGAGAAATAATAAAAATATAATAATTATAAATTTTCCTTTTAATTTGACTGATTATGAAAAGGAAATTAATTATTTCATAAAAAAGGACTTGCAAATAACTAATAGTTATACAGAAAGTTTGGTTAGACTATCCAACAGTGAAACCAAACCTATAGTGAAAATATCATTAAATTCCTCTTACGATAGAAATTTGATTATTAAGGAATTCTGGAAAAAGAAAGGTGATTTCAGTAATAAAGAGAAGGAAAAAATAATACTTCAAATTTATGTATGAGATCCAGATTGAGGAGAAAAAAACTATTAGCAATGATAAAACAAGAAAAATGTAATGGAAATAGAATTATTATAAGAGATGATTATTATATAAAAGACAACATAAAATATACATATGACATGAATATAAATAAAGTAATTCAGTTGAGTGGTTTTTGAGAACTGATTGATATTATAGAATAATTATAATTAGATTGAAGAAACAATTGTTATTTTAAAAGTCAAATTCATGGAAACAGGGAACTGGAAACAGACTTGGTCTATGCTGTTTCTTGTCGATACTCCATGTGGGTAAATTTAGGAAATTGTAATAAAATTACCAGCTAAACTACTGAGGTTATTATATCAAATTCATAACTGATCCAAATACTTTTGAATCCTATTTATATCAAGAAACTAAAGAGGGATATAACGTGACAAAGTCTTGTGTGATGTATCCAATCTCAGGATACTCATATAGTAATGGATTTATGCATATGAATTTTGTTTTTGTCATTATAAGTTCTTTATTCAATTAAGGCTAAATAGAAAAAGAAGTAAACTCAATAGTAATACTATGAACTTTTTAGAGAGTGCTGTTTCAGAGGTGGGGTTTTTTCCCAAAATGTACAAGTTTTGTTTTTTAATATTTGAAGACAAGTTTGCCCAAATAGGGATCACCATTTTCTCTTTTGCATTCTAGACAGTACATTGTTTTTTAAAAGGACTTTTTTGAAACTTTTTGGCAGCTAGTAGCCTAGAATGGAAGCTGGAAATGTACTGTCTAGAACGCAAAAGAGAAAATGGTGATCCCTATTTGGGCAAACTTGTCTTCAAATATAAAAAAATAGAAAAAACCATCGGACGAAAAAATTATGAAGTACAAGTTTTGTTTTTATAGGGAGATACTAATGTTATTCAATAGATACAACTTCCGTGCGATGAATAAGATCAACAAATGGAAATATTAAGAAATTTTATATGACGTTATTGTAATTATTTATAAATTGTATAAACTGCAACAAAGTTTTTTTTTTGTGATTGTATTATGTGATTAGTGAATTTATTTAAGTTTATAACTTTGTATGTATATATATGAAAATGTTAAACAAAATGATAATATGTCAATATATTATAATTATTTAATATGTTATAATATAACAAAATCAATATTTTGGATATCACCCAAAACTCTCTTTTGTAACAGGTATACCCTATTACAAATAAACTTCACTTACTTACTTACTTAAACATTAATATAAGAAGAATTTTAAAGAATTCATTTTCTATATATGAAAGAGATGGAAATGTTTTGTTTAATTTTAGATAATTGAATAAAGTTCATAATGTTGAAGTATGAACAAAATTATTTTATATAATTATAACAATAAACTATATTCATAACATGTTAGATTTAAATGTATTTTATAAAATTAATGTATTAATGTTTATACAAAGACTGTCTATAAATAAATATTCAATATTTATATGTACAAATTAAAATTTATTTTTAATAGTTGAATCCAAATTTATTGCTTTTATTAATGAATATATCTTATTTTAACTAATTGATTTTTTTGAAATGTATCGGATGATTTTTGTGCTTTGATTGACTTTTGGTTGCTTTCATTATTGACTTGTATTCATTTATGGTATGTGTTATAATTTTTCACAGCCATAATACTTAAATTTTAAATAGAATATTATCTTTAAAATTTATTCATAAAATTATTTATTACAGTATTATGAATTACTAATAAATTTGAAAAAGTTAGTTAATATTTCATAAAAAGTTTTCAGATGAAGAATGTTATATTTAAGATACCTAGTCTGTCTATAGAAAGAATCGACATGAGAGCACTGTCATGCATGGTGTTGCTTCTGTTAATTAAACCAATTAGCACATTTCCTAATAATGGCAGCATTTTTTGCTTAATATGTCAAGCAATATGTGAAATATTGCTTGACATATTAACTAACTTTTTCAAATTTATTAGTAATTCATAATAATAAATAATTTTATGAGTAAATTTATTTTATTTTATCTCACTGGATGGAATAATGACTTTTTCATTAATTGTGTTAATTTTTATAGCATGCATTAACTGTAAAGAATCATGAATTTAATAACTACTATACAAACTTCCTTGTATTCCATTATCAGAACATGAAGCTTCCATAAAACTTTCCATTGAGCTTTCCATAAAGCTTTCCATAAAGCTTCCATGAAGCTTTCCATTCCACTGTTTATAATGGTGGTGACATGTATAACAAATGAGGAAGAAACTGGAAGTAACTTGCCACAACTAAGCAATCAGTGGCCGATGCTCATTGGTTAATACCCAAGATGATTCTTTCCATAGACACACTGTATAGAATATACAATAGACCATAATTTTATGGAGCAATAAATGACTTAAAAAAGTTCAAAATGTAATACAAGTTGTCTGTTTTGTTTGCCAGATATGAACATTTTCATTGTAAATAGATTTTTAAAAAAAGTGGCTAATTTTTATCTAGAATAAGAATGACAAATCAATTTGGCATTATAGAATAAAGTATTTATTGCAAAATATGACCTACTTGAACCTATAACCAGTGCGTACAGAGTTTAATCTTCCAAAACGAACATTTTCTTAACCCCTTTGGGTTCTTCTTCAGGTAAATCAGCTGGATTGAACACAAATACAAAAATTTGAACAAATCCAAATGCTGTTGAGTTTGAATTGTTTGGTTCGTTTGCATATTCCGTCACATGACATGTTTGAAAGTGCTCAAACTTAATGATCAATGTCCAAACGTAAGAGAAAGTTATGTCAAAATACATAACATATGTGAGAGTGAGATAAAAAATTAATAATGATCTCGCATGTTCCCCAGTAATTTTTTCCTTATTCTTTACCACATAATAAATAGTATAATGCTATCACTCCATATACAGTAAGTTCTGCCATGTCATGGAAAGGCCAATGGCAATTTTTAAAGTATTTATTCAAAAAATATTCAAAAACATTATAAAATGAAAATTGTATACATTTATACTGAAAAAAACTCATATGTTGCTTATTGGTGACATATTTTGAAGCACTTTTCTACACAGAGAGCTAGTTTTTCTTTGCATATCACATAAAAATATTATGATGCTAGTCATTTTTTTTGTCTTGTTCACACACTACATGAATTTGATTTGAATTTTTTTAGTTGGTGGTATAGCTTCTAAGCAATGGAAGTTGTCTTCACTCTACATTTTTTTTTTGCACTATTTGGCATTTTATTGTGAATTAAACATTCAACAAATTTTTTTCTGAATATCAGACTTATGAGACAATAAGTCTGACTTAATCTTAATTATTTGAATTATCTTGTAGTTGGCATCTGCTAAAGAAAAATTACTTCATACTCCTACTACAAGATGATTTGCATAGATACTTTTTTTTACCAAATATTAAATTTTACTACCAATTATATATAATGCAACCAATTTGTTTTTCTGTAAAAAATCTGCTTCTACTCAAACATTTCATTTGAGTAATTAAATAATTGGGAAAATATAGGACTCAGTTTGCAGGTTCAAGTTGAATGGAGATTACTGCTGAAATTAGACTGTTAAAACAGTAAATCACCAGAGAGATCATCATTATAATATTTTATATATTGTATATGACTCAATAGAAAAATGCTAAAATATCAGTGTCAAATCTAAAGAGAAGTGTCATAAACAAGATTAAACATTTTTCAAGACATATTAACATTGTAATGACCATACAAAAACACTTTTTGGGCCAATTCAATCCTCCATCTTATATTCCATCAGTAACTAACGTTCGATCCTACAAAGATCGGCATCAAGTGTTTTACATGTATGTGCTTTTAGCAATATCTTGTCAGTCATTTTAAAGAAAATTTATGTTTTATCTTTGTATTGTATATTATCAGTCTTTGGTGAAATATAGAAAAAAGATTCAATTGGCCCAAAAAAGTTTTTGTATAGTCATTACAGTNGATTAGTCTTTGTATTTTTTGTATACTTTAGTGTGTAATTTCCAAAAGTATCTGACAGTTTTATATACTTTGCATATATTAATATGTAATTAATGATATATATTCTTCCATTAATTACACACTTAATCTAACATTAGCAATTTGTTATGTTATACTACTATACTATTTAGAAAAGTCTGCAAAAAAGAACTAGATTTGAAGCCACAATTTTCACTAATTGTATACTCTTAGAAGTCTTTTAGAATTTAAGAATTTGAATGAACATACAATCATTAATGTATATTACTTGATATATTTCCCATAATTTTCAAATTGTATTTGATAACTAATAAGTAATGATCCTGTGTAATTGAACAAATTGTTAATGTCTGGATATAAATTACTGTGAATTGTTTGTTATTTACTTAAGTTTAAAATTTTTCTTAAGGGAAGGAAAAGGACGACCAACACAAACAACAAGAATGACAGGCATTGGTGAAATTTTGGAACAAAACATTGGAATGATTGAGGTATTTTGTGATCTTAATGTTGAATTAATTTTTTAAATAATTGTTGTTAAATGGTAACATCTTTATAATATATTAATAATTTAATTATAAAATTATTATTAAATATTTTTTCCAAAAATTATAAATAATTAAATATGTGAAATCAATATTTTAAAATAAAGTTATTTTATTAATTCTTTTTCCCTCTATGTCTTTATCATTGTATGTTTCTGTGTATATACTGTCTACTTGGATTCAGTTTATTAATAGGACTTATTATACTGGTGTAGTTTCTGATTAGCAAGATTAGCAAAGAGAGATCATCTTAGTCAAAAATCAAAACAAAATATCTTTATTTTTAACTGAAACCCATAATATATGAAACTGTTTCATTGATTTATAACAAATATAAATATGCAATGTTTTATTAATATGGATGCAACCTATGTGGCCTGTAAATGAACTGTGAAAGTTTTAGATGAATTTTTGCCTGTTATTTTTGGTGTCATTGAAAATGGCAGCTTAAGGAGGCATATTAATGAGGTTTTACTGTATCTGCGTATTAATTAAATAGAACATATTGAATATACTTGGAATACTCCATTATTGAAAAACTGCAAAATTTAAAGTTAGCTGTTTAAGGTACTATACCCATAATATATGAAACTATTTCATTGATTTATAACAAATAAATTTACAATAGAACTGTAATTAAAAATAGTTAAAAACAGAATTATTATTTTAATTTTACTTCATATTTTAATAAATGAGAGGCTTGATGGAAAAATAGCATATACCACATTAGGAATTTTTTAAGAAAAAGGAAGATTTGCAATTCAGTTCACCATCATTTTAATATGCAATGTTTTATTAATGTGGATGCAACCTGTGTGGTATGCAACTGAATTGTGAAAGTTTCCTAGATGAATTGATGATGCACAAATTCAAATTTGTTAATAACTTGTTTTTTTTTTTGTAATTTTGTGGGATATGTTGTTTTTCCACTAAGCCATTCAAATGTAAGTAATTAAATTTTTAATTTTGAAAATATTTTTATTTACAGACATATAATAAATATATTAATACTTTACCAATGATTTTGGAAAAACTGCATCATTCTTATTATTGTAATGAATATTTTGAACAAATGTATCGCTGTTTTGAAATGCAAAGGATATGTTATTTGCCTTTAATTGCTTTTCTTTTACGACCTGTACATAGACTATCACAATATTATTTGCTTCTGAAAAGTAAGGATGCAAAAAAATTCATTATTCTAAAAGTTTAATTTTGTAGCAAAATGAATTATTTAAATCATACTTTTATTTTTTAATTTTTGGTTTTAATAACAACAGTATTTTATGTGAATTTACTTTTTTGAATTTTACATAAATTTACAGAAACTAGTAACAGAAACAATTAATTAAAACTGTATTTTAAATTGCTTGAATTATTTAGGTGCATGTTCCATTATTTTTAAAACAATATTGTATATAAATTAGATTATTTTTATGTTGCAATTTTCAGAAATATTGAAGCATTATGAACAGTCTCATCCTGATTATGGTAGTTGTAAAGGTAAATAATAAATTTTAAAATTTAACACAATCTAGTTATAATTGTTAAATCTATCAAGAGATAGTGCCTAACCATTATCTCTAGGCTAAATTACTTGACATTTAATTAGTAATTATTAGTATTAATATAGCATGATGTAATCTGGAAATTGTTTTGCATTAATCTAAGAATCATGTTTATGGATGTTTATATTTTTATAATTATGTATGAAAAAACAAAATTCACAATTTTTGATATCTAAAAATTTTGAATTTTTAAAAATACTGGACAATATACAGATTAATATATTAATTTTAGTTTTAAATTTAATACTCATTGAATATTTTATCCATGATTTATGTATGTTTTATGCAAACTATAAATATAAAGAATGCATATTAATATTTATATTAATATAGTTTACACTTTTTTTAATTTAATAAAATTAATTGCTTCTTCTAATAGTGAGACTAGTGGTCTTTATCATATTTTTCTTAATTATCCACAATAAACAGAGACCGAGATTAAAACAGTTCATTTTATTTGCTTATTTAATAATCCATTTTGGATTGGTATTATCTAATTCCTCTTTGGGCTACAAATTTTAAATTAAAAAAATTTTTAAGAAAATATATACATTAACAAAAAAATTAAGATTTAAACTTACCACAAGTATACAAAACAAACATCACAGTTTCAGTGTCCAAGGTTGTTGTGTTCTCTACCCAACTTTACATTTATGACACCTTTTATAGCTCTTGATGACATCATATATGTCATCAATTTTCATCCCATTATTTAGGTTGTTACAACTTTATAGTATTTTAATCTTAATCTCTGTTTATAAGAAAAATGTGATAAAGATCATTAGTCTCACTATTAGAAGAAGAAACTTTTACTCATTGTTATATCCATTCCATTTTAATAACTTTATTAAACAGTTTACAAAAATTAATTGCATTTTGAATTATTCCTAATCAAAAATTAATTTTAGAACATGATTTTAATTTTATCTTTAGAAACACTGTTACAATTCAAACAAGCAATCAATTCACAAGATTTATCAATCAAATATTTGGTAAGTAACTTAATGTAACTTTAACTGTTTCTTAAATAGAAATTGAATTTATTTAAAATTCAATTTCTTTTTAAGAAACATAGTTAAACTAAAGTATAACTAAAATTTAAATTTATTATATTTATTTTATATAATAATTTGTGCATTTTGAAAAATCAAAATTTTGAAATTAATCTAGAAATGTTTTAATAGAGCTGTAGAAAAAACCACACTAAAAATGACATTAAAAACACATAGTTTAATAAAATTTGCAAGTACTTTTAGTGACTTAGTCATTGTCATCAGGCAATGAAATCAAATACAATTTTAAACTTAAGAATAGAACAAAACATATAATGGGCTATTTTAAAATATAAGTATCTTGTTTTGCTATCAGATCCCCACAGAAAACAATTACTTTCAATTTAACAGTACCTTTTACAAACTGAAATGCAGAGTACCCATAGGCTCCCCCTCTCTGCCACTCTTGCAGAACTCATCATGAGGAATGTTGAGTTTACAGCTTTTAGTTCCCCACTGGCCATTCGCTATCTACTCTTATATCTACATTATGTAGATGATGTCTTGCTCTTGTGGGATAGCACTGAGGAAGAGTTGTATATCTTTATAAACTTGTAATCTTCTGTCCATTTCACAATTAATTTTTCTATAGAGCAAGAACAAGGTGTGGAGATACTCTTTTTAGACTTATTCATACACAGATTGCCTGCTGGACTTATGTTTTCTGTCCACAAGAAGGCTGGTATGTTGCCACACATTGTCCTTGCCACTGCCTTCCAGTTTCCATCCTTTGTAAATTCAGCCATTTCCATCTCATACGTAGAGCATTCTTAGTTCCATCTACCTACTAAAGAGTTACAGATTATTTCTGTCACAGTGTGTAGGGCAGGATATTAGCCAACCAAATTTAGATATCTCTTTAACCATGTTAGGAAGTCAATATATTCACAGACATTCCTTTGTAATAAACACAATTACTGCATTGTTTATCCCCAATTCTTTTGTGGGCTTTTTATCTTTACACATAGCCCATGTCTTTAAAACTCATGGCTTTATTTTACCAATTGTTCCCAGCTTACTTCATATAGATTGTTTAATGACAGGGACAATCTTGCTTTACACAAAAATTTGGGGTTTACACAATTCCATTGCTACATTCATTATCATGAGCTATGACAATGTACAGTACATTGGAGACACTACAAGAATGTTGCAAGTCCGTGTTGTGGGGCATCAAGATGACATTGCAAATAATTGTAAGGAACCAAGTCTGAGCTTTATTTTTATTTTACTTTTATTTTGCTTTCATTATATTTTGTTTGGGGCTTATGTTTAGTTAAGACGAAGGTTTCCTCACCATTCACCTTAGTAACTTAAAAATAGAAGAAAAACCAACTCACCGACGAAAGAAAAGCGCCGTAGAAAAACTCGCGCACACTTGCGCTTCCCAAGCGGAAAAAAGTAAGTCCGCACCGAAAAAAAGGGGGGGAAGACCCCACAACCCAGTTAGGAATCGCTAAACCTTAAAAGAATAAAGCATCCCGATAATTGTTAAAAAGAATAATGTAAAAGGTTAGCGAAGTATTGTCGGAAAATAATCTGCCAGATAAACAAGAAAAATTTAATGTTACAGATAAGTATGTAAATGAGGAGAGTGAGCTCATTCAGAATTGTGACGTCACCTCACACTATAAAGCCTCTAACTCAAGTGAAAACGAACGAGGTGAATTCCTGATAGCAACGAGCTTTGGTGAGCTTCGTAGCAGTGAACGAGAGAGGTGTCCGATAGGATTTTGAAGTTATTCGATTTGTGGATCGACGATTATAGAAAGTCTTGAGAGTTTGAGGAAATAGGTTCCTAGTATATTGAGGTGACGATTAGGATCTTTAATTTATAAGAATTATTGTTTATAAGTTAATTCTTTGATTTTGTCGAATCCAAAGGGGAATAGAATTAAGTTAGAAATAGATTGATTTGAGTTTGTTGGATTGATTCTGTTGAATTTCATTGAATAAATTATTGTTTGATTTTTACTAAATACTGTATATAGTTTATTACTAGAAGTTTAATTAAATATTTGATTTTGTTATTGACAAACTTTGTCATTATTTAATTCGGTGCACGCTTAAAGTCCATTTCATATTGATCACATCCATCACCTAAAGGCCTGGTGCCTTTAGGTGATGGATGTGATCAATACGAAATGCCTGTCTGATTACTTTGGTGTTTTGGAAGTCCACCCGAATTTCAGGGTCGGTAATGTAGGCCGACAAGGTGGTGGTGTGCCTGTTATTTTTAATATCCAATTAATGCTCACGTAATCACATCCATCACCTGGAGGCCTGGGAGATTTATAAAGCCAACATTGGGGGGCATCTGCATCAACTTTAAAGACGGAGAGACGATCGCGCAGGCGCGGAGATACTTATTCAAAGAATTCGAACTGGGACAAGTGGAGGGGTGAAACGCGATATGCGCATTATTTACATCTCGGGCGACATCGTTCCAACGGTCAAGGGGAGACACCATTTAGTCAGCACCTGAAGAAGACCTCGGTGTAGGTCAAAAACGTTAGTGAAGATTGTTAAGGACACATCACTGTTATAAAAAGCTTTTGTGGATTGTTATTACTCAATGCAGTGTTAAGATTAGAAGTCGTTTTGTGTTAGAAAAATATATTTAATTTATTCTTTAAAAAACAAACAAACAAAAATAGAATTATCATTTACTTAGAAGTTCTTAAAATTTGATATTGTCTTCCATTTAAGTCTAATTTTACTAATTATAAAATACAGTAGAACCTCCATTATCCGGACCTCCATTATACGGATTTTCGATTATCCGGATTGTTCAAAATAAACAAAAATTTTACGAATTTGCTGATTTGCACTTGGCGAATTACGACACTGTTTATGCACGTGATGGAATGCATAACTTTTTTTGTTTCAAC